TGAATAGTAAATAATTCTCGCAGCTACTCATGTAAGTATCTGATAATTATAAATGCGTCAAAAGTTTGATAGAAAAATGAATTCATTACATAAATGAAACGTCCTATATAAATTTAAATAGGAAATTTGCACTTTTTGCTTTCATTCTTTGCGAAATATAACAAATCTAACCTCAATCTTTTTTTTAAGCATAATCCTTGTATGATTTCAAAATGTTGTTACTGCATGAGTTATTGAAGTTAGTAACTTCGACTATTTATATGTAGCACTCCCATAAAAATGGATCTTCAAGCTGGAACCCTATATCGGCTCCATCTAGCTGCCATGAAGAAGCTTCAGGGGAAAGATCCGGTAGATCAAAAAATGGGTCATCGTCAACAGTTGAAGCTGAGCAATTGGACGATTCTTGAATATTGTCCAATGCCAAATTTGTTGAAGAATGAGAACTGGGCAGCTTGGCTACAACTTCAGTGGCGGTGCCGTGATTGTGGTAGCTGAATGTGTTGGCAGCCGCCGCTTTCGAAGCTGCGGTTTGGATGTCCTTAGGTGAAGTGGAGACGGGGTGAGGGAGTTCATGAGCTAAATGAGGGAAATTGAGGTGAGCTGAGTGGCCTTTAATGGCTAAGGCTGCTACATCGTGAGCTCGAGCCGCCATCTCGGCTGTAGGATAAGTTCCCAGCCATATTCTTGATTTTTTCTTTGGCTCTCGAATTTCAGAGACCCATTTCCCCCAACTCCGCTTCCGAACGCCGCGATAAGGGGAATACTTTTGGTCAAGACGGCGATCAATGTCCTCATTGCCACTTCTCTCTCCTTGAACCGTTTTTCTATTTTTTTGGGATTTGCATGAAGAGTTCAAGGTGGAGGAAGAGGACTTGGTGGATGGAGGTGAACTCAATCCACTACAAGACACGGCGGTGGTGGCGGCAGCGGAGGAGGAGCAAGTGGAAGTGGAAGAGGAAGAGAGGTAGTCTAGAGGTAGACTCGCCAAGATGATTTTCTGTTCCATGATAAAATGTCTTATGGGCAGCTATAGCTAGAAAAAGAAAGTAAATAATGGTACATTAAAATAGATGAAGTTGGGATATATAACAATATTTGATTTAAATAAAGAAAAGAAGAAAGGAGGAAGGAGGGTACCTATGGTTGCACTTTAATAATGCATTATACATAAATCGCCATATAATTGAACATTATCTTTTAATCGTAGTTACTTTGTCAAGTCCCTGTTTGGTACATATTTCATTTTTCAAGCAAACTTATTTTAAATCATATATTCTTCTAACAAAATAATTTTGCACACGAATCTAGATTTTTTAATTACAAATTTTTCGAAAAATTGTTTCACAAAATCTATTCTCTAAAAATTTATCAGGACCACTTTTTGGCATCATATTGGTAATCCAGGGGGGCATCCATTAATTTTTCTCATTCTAAAACCAAGAATTTCACATAGAAAAATGGCTAGAGACCCTTGTAGGGTTATTAACAATCATAGATAGTGATTTCCCATTACGGATTTTGAAGTATTATCATCTATCCATGCATTTTTCACACCATATACATATTATTTGATTTTCATTAATTTTGCATTCGTTGGAGAAGATAAAGTTTGCAAACAAATATACAGAAGATGATTGATAAAGTTGATGCGGTAACATATAGAAGAGAGACTAATAGATGAAAACGTTTAGCCTATGTTTGGTAGAGATTAGAATCAGATTTTTTATCGATTGTGATTATGGAATGTGTAGTTGAAAAATTGTAGATATTATGAAATGTGTAATTAAAATTAATTGCTGACTTTAACTCAAATTTTAATTATTTTTTTGCGGTAACAAATAGGGGCTTAATCGTTGTAAACGTAACTATGAAACCAAAAATTAATGGTAAAAAGCTTCTTAGTTTATTGTTGAATTTTCTCACAAATTCTGTCAATGAGCACATGGAAGATATATATCTATATATCTATATATATACATACACACACACATATACATATCAAAAATCAAGCTGTGAACAATTATTGAGAAATAAAAAAATTCATGTTGTCATGAACTTCTTCTCATGTGGATTTTGTTATTTGGGATGAGGACAATGCATTCTGCAATATCTACACATGACCAGTTATTTTCATAATGAATTTGATAATCATAAAAATTACTCTAGTTGGATCTTAAAAAATGACATTCATTTCAATTTGTCTTAACATAGTTCATGGATCACATGCCAGTGGGTCCTGCCCAAGATTTTCTGGACAATCTGTTGATTAGAAGACCAGTTTACTCCTAGTGTACTGAAGTTGCCAAACCATGTCTGTTTCTTTCATCTCCTAGTGTATTGAAGTTGCCAAATCATATGTCTGTTTCTTTCATAATTATATGACTTAACCTTAGGTCAATTTACTTCGGTGAAAGAGGAAAAATTGTCCGAACCCTTGTGTACAACAGGTGGAAAAAGCGAGTAATTTTATTTTTATTTCTTAAACCAGATATAGAGATTTATTAGAGACAATTAAGGTCGATAAATGTATGCTTGGAGTTAGAGACGNTTTTTTTTTTATTTCTTATACCAGATATAGAGATTTATTTGAGACAATTAAGGTCGATAAATGTATGCTTGGAGTTAGAGTCGAAGAACAAGGAGGAGTGGTGATCATATGTCCAATAGTCAAGTTACATTATGTGTTTGTAAGAAAAAGTAATTTATATGAAGAAAAATACTTTCTTGCATTTTTTTTTATTTTCATTTTTTTGTGAGGTTGAATTTTGCTAATTGTAGAGTTAAAAGGAAGAAGTTTCCCATTTTATAATAAAATGATATCGTATGTATACGTGAACAGTAAAATGTTTTAAAAAAAGTGAACAAAAATCCAAAATATATTTTTATGTATAAAATTGGAAAACACTAACCAAACATCCAATGGCTATGCTGGAAAATTTCTGACGGGATGGAATAGCTTGCGAATTATTCTAACTTAATATACAACAATTGCCTTCATTTTCGAAGACTCGGACTGGTGATTTTCAATGGATTATCATGGTGGTGGGGAACTGGTCGAAATGGTGCCATAGTTGTTGACGTTGACTCCGATCACAGTCAAAATGTTCAAGAATCTTCAAATCTTGTAACTTCGGGGGTTAGATATGTTTTCTTATTCATATATTGTTGTTTTAACTTCCAAGGTCCACCCCAAATATTATGCACCTTAAATTTGGGAGCATTGTTTAAGCATAAATCAATCATCCGAAATTAAGGAGAAACACCACCACTATATTTAGACTATTTTTTCTAGAAAAAAATTTAAAGAGGATCCCACCTTTTCGTGCTGTTGGATATACTAGTATGATAACAACATTCTGTCATCAGTTTGCATCCCTGGTTCTAACTTCTCAGCAACCAATAAGTTAATGTTCGGAACGCAGTACCAACAAGATAGTAAATAAGGGCCTATTTTCATTGCTATTTTCAAACCATTTTCAGTTTTCTGTTTTCGAAAACACTGAAAATACGCTTAGTTACCTATTCTCAGAAACAAATTTTCAAAAACGAGTTTAAAATTTAGCCCCTTTTTGGGCCATATTATTTTTTTATTCTCATTCTTCTACTCATTTTCAACCACACATTTTTCAATAAAATAATATTTTCAATCACATCAATAACTTTTCCTTTTTTTTCAACAACACATTCTCTATAAATCCATTATTCCAAAATAATGTGGCTCAAACACACCCTTACAAAGAAAACGGAAAACGCCCATAAAGTCATTTTGGCTATTTTCAGTTAAAACCAAGCCAAACCTTCGTTTTTTTTAATTTTTGAAAGCAATTTTTCAAAATGACAAAAATAACATGTTTTCATCAATCTCAAAATGCACACTCAAAATAGAAAATCCAAAATGAATTCAAAACTAAAAACTGAAACACGAAGAGAACAGTTTTTAACTTCTTTTTTCTTCCTATGAAACAAGCGTCAACCCATGAGGCACTGCCTGTTAAAATGTCCTTTTTGTTACAAAAGAAATAGCGATAACTAGCCGATAATGTAACTGACTACTTTTTAAATTTGAAGTCGAAAATATAACTATTGAAGCAGTTCTTAAGATTGACTCATCACCATTGTGATGGGCTTGGAAGTGGGTCGAGGTGATCAAACATGTCCATGGGAGGGAAGTCGTCGATGAAGCTGTCCAGGGGTTACAGCATTTTGATTTTCTCCCTGTCTTGCAGTTTGAGATCCTCCATCTGGTCCAAAACACGATGGCATGATAGGAAGTCGTCCATTGCCCAGTTTGGTACCACTGCCTTGTCCAAAGACATCATAAATATTAGAATCTGTTAGTCTAGTGATGAAGTCTTGGCTTTCTAGGGGCAAAGAATAGTCTGGTTGTTGGAGTAGTGGAATCTGAGGAAAGGAGAGTTGTAATTGTTGTTCAATGGCAGGTGCGAACTTAAAGTTGAAATTGTTCAAAATTGAGTGAACTGGAATACACTAACCCTTGTAATGGAACCATTTTGATTGTCTCAGAATCATCAATGTATGATGATGAACATGATTGTTGTAGAAATTAAGAAAACTAGGGTTTTTTATTCCAATAAAACTGAATAATGAAATTACACAGTAAAGTTGTTTATATAGACTCATTAGAAAATATGAAAAATAGGAAATCTACAAATAATAAGAAACAAGTAAATAAATAATAAAATAATATAGCATCCCCCCTCAAACTCACGATGCTATTGCTAGAAGCATGAAGAGTTTGCCAAATAAGAAACGAAAACGCGAAGTGGAGTACGCCTTGGTAAACATGTTGGCAATTTGCACGAAAGAAGGAATGAAGACAATGTGATAGTGCCAAGTTGAAAATGATGTCGAACGATGTGACAATTAATCTCAATATGTTTGGTCTGCTCATGAAAGATCGAATTACGTGCAATCTGAATAGCACTCTTATTATCGCAATATAAGGGAGTAGGTTGATGAAGTGAAATACCCATATCTGCAAGCAACTAACGTAACCAAACTATCTCACAAGTAGTAGAAGTCATGACACGATATTCTGCTTCTATGGAAGATCTAGAAACTACATCTTGCTTCTTACTCTTCCAAGAAATAAGAGAATTACCAAGAAAAATACAGAAGCCAGTGGTGGACTTGCGATCTGTAGGATCACCAGCCCAATCAACATCATAGTACGCATGCATCTCTAAAGATGAAGTAGATGGAAGTAAAAGACTCTGAAATTGAGTGCCCCAAAGATACCTTAGAATACAAATAACAACAACCTAATAACCTGTAGTGGGCGATGGTGAGATAAACCAAGTTGCCAACAATAGAACAATATGAACTAGGATCCGACAAGGGAGAGCCATCAGACGGAGAGTACTGAGCATTAGTCTCAAGAAGGGTATCGACAACCTTATTATCAGTAAGACGTGTATACTCAAATATATCAACTATATACTTGGACTGGGATAAAAATATAACGTTTTGTAGAGGAGGCGACCTCAATGCCTATAAAATAACGTAGCGTGTCCAAATCTTTCATTGCAAAGCACCAAGCTAACTCAAACTTTAAAGATGCAATTCCGTCAACATCATCACCAGTAATAATCATATCATCAACATATAAAGAGAGCAGAATATGACCTACACCAGTACATTTGACAAATAATGCTGAATTATGATGACTAGGATGAAAAC